TACATATTCTTACATTATTATAACTTTTAAGTATCTAACCTAATACCTATATTAAACTCATTTTTATATTATTGCGCTTGTCTTCGCCTTTTTTTCGCTGCTGCCATTCAGTTTCTCCTCTAGCACCTTCTTGAAAACGTTCTTCGTATTCAATGTCATCAATTATTACGTCATCAACATTGATACAAAAATTGTGGAGGATGCAGCAGCTTATTATAATCTTTGTTGCAGTTACAACAGATTTCATATCCAATCTGGTTAATTGGCGAAATCTGCTTTTTAAAATGCCAAAAGTGTTTTCAATTAAGACACGAGTAGCACAGAACTTCTTATTATAGTTAACTTGGTCAGGTGTTAGCTTTCCATAATCTTTATATGGAGTTAAAAGCCATGGTCTTATGAAGTATGCTCCATCTCCTAAAATGTGATATTTGGTACCACACAGGTTTGGTAACAGAGCTAATATTTCCGACATTTTGAAAACACGAGAATCATGCACTTTACCCGGTATGCCTGTAAAGACATCTATAAATCTACGCTTGTAGTCACATATGCCTTGTAGTGTTAGGGATGGTATGTCATGTCTGTTAACATAAGTTGATTTTATCTTGTGAGCAGGCGTTCTAATCGTGATTGACGTTCCATCAATACATCCCACGACACCTGGAAATCCAGCTACCTAGAAAAATAGTTATAATACAAAAATTTCACAAATACGAAATGTATGCACCTTTCTGAATTCTTTTTCTATTTGTTCCAATTCTAGAGCAGACTTTGGCATTTTTATAATGTCTGGGCCCAATTCTAACAGAAATCCCATAAACCGGTCCATCACTCTGTGAAACGATGATTCAGTTATATTGAACCTTTGTCCAACATCTTTAGTTGTGCATTTATTGCCAGCGAACCTATATAAATACACATTAATAAAGTCTGAAGTTACTTATAAAATTATACCATAAAAATGCATATGTATGCACTTCTGCAGGTATAGGTACCCGACCACCATGTCCATCATTTTTCGGGAAATATTTCGAGTTTTGAAATTTGTTAATTAATAACTGCACTGTTGTTCTTTGTAATCGAAAGTATTTCTGAAACTAAAAATCAATTTAATGTCAATTCCTTTTAGGCTTAACAGTACCTACCTGATCGTCGCTTAATTTATTAAGTACTTCATCCACAAAGTTTTTAATTTTTGGTAACTTCACTCTCTCCTTTAACAAGGCAACAAACTCCTCATCCTCACTACTACTGCTGCTGCTAGATAAAATGGCTAAACATAAAACCGCCTTTGCCTCTTTGCTTGTGGCCATTTTCAAATAAACCCTCGAAATAAACACAACAAAAAACAGCTGATCAATTCCAGTGCCGCACCTGCTCAAGACCTCGTGCGGAACTTTTTGCACTAAATGCAACAAATGCGACACCAGTTTACCAATGGAATACGAATACTTGCACTATAATGACCAATGGTTTATAAAAATTTGCACTCGGTGCGCATTTTTTCACCAATGGATTTCGCTAATAGATCTCAGGCTAGCGTTATATGTTGGTTCTGGGAAGAATATGGAAGCAGTGTTACCACCTGCCACATAATGAGACCAGTGGCGTAGCATTCGTAAATGCGAACAGTGGCAGTGGCAGAAGTGCCTAAAACTTTTAACGCTGTTACTCGTTTTTTACCACTCGCACGTTAGTGCGCCGGCTAAACGATTAAACCGATTTTTTATTTTTTTTTGGCTTTTCTCGGGATCAATGCCCATTTAGCCACGATAATGAAAGGAAACCTAATGTCATAAATTAACGGGACTTAAAGGCAGGGGCACACACTTCTCGCCAACAGAGGTGGGTACCTATTTCGAATGAATTTATTTGAAATACGTATTTAAAATAGAAAATGCCATTTTATATTTTGTATTTTAAATACTGTAGATAAAATCATTTTCTATTTTCTATTTTAAATAAATCAGTATAACTATTTTCTATTTAAAATAACGTAGTATAGATTCGATTCAAAGTTTTTCTGGTTTACCTGCAAATGTGATCTGTGGAAAGAAACTAAAAATGGGTAAAGAAGTGCATCAAAACGCTTCCTTGCACAAAACGTGCTTGGCTTGCTTGTGCTGTTGTCGCTTGCTTGTTTACGTGATTTCTGTGGTTTACGCACGCGTTTTTTTAACGGTATATAAAAAAATTTAGAAATTTCCTTCAAATTCAAGTATTATACGTTTACTTTGACTATATTTCTTAGTTAATTAGTGGTTTAAAAATACACATAATCTGTGTACAAATCAACATGTCCAGTGGTCAGGAGGATAAGATATCTGCAGAGGAAAAAGAAACTAATGACCAGGGCTCTAGTAGTAACGACCGTACGCCATTACCGTTGATATTAGATGGAAAGTTTTTTAAAATAATACATATTGAAAATGAAACGGGGGGGTTACAGCAAAATGCTCCAAATGCAATAAACTTATTAAAGGGCAAATCAATGCTACTACAAACTTTCGAACCCATTTAAAGGTAAGTAATCGGTAATGTGTACTCATATTTTTTTGTTCGACGATTCTTCTACAGATAGCCCTGGCTCTTCAGATTTAAATAATGGGTTACAGCTTGAAGCCCTTCAATATCTTCAGAGTCCACTTACAAATTTGTCAATGTTGGATCAATTTCCTAACATCAAAAAGTTATTTATAAAATACAACACACCACTTCCGTCATCGGCTCCTGTTGAAAGGCTGTTTTCATACGCAGCTAATGTAAATTTTATTGCAAATAAATAAATTGTAAAACCATGTTGTATTCGAAATGTTATTTCAAATACCTATTTTTTCCTATTTTAAATAAATGACAAAACCATTTTGCATTTTACATTTTAAATACTTATCTAAATTGCATTTTACCCACATCTTGTTAAAGTACATTCAATAAATTAGTCAACTTATTTCGCGGACTCCTAAGGGATTTATAAATATATCATCAGGTTATGGGAGCAGCGTGCTTCGTTGCGGGATAAGTAATTTTTTCGTGATTTGTGAAATTCGTATTCTTCGTAAGAATTGCGTTCATGTTCCTCTTTTTTGAAAATGGAAAAGGTAACGCTTCCGAAGTTCGACGGTACTGATTTCAATGTATGGAAGTTCCAAATGCAATCGTATTTGGATGTACATGGACTACTTAATGTCGTAGATGGATCATCGTCGCAGCCAAATGAAGACCAGGCACAAAAATTAAGTGAGTGGAATAGACTTGACAAAAAGGCAAGGATGACCATAGAGTTTGCGCTAGAGAAGAACCAAGTACGGCACATAATGAATTTAAAAACGTCCAAGCAGATGTGGGATCGTTCAGTTTCAATTTATGAAATGAAAAACGAGACTTCGGTTCACATGTTATTGCAACAATTCTACAAGTATGAGATGGCTCAAAGATGACAGTTTCGCAACATATCGCCACCGTTGAAGAAATGGCACAGCGCTTGGAGGATTTAGAACAACCCCGTTCTGAAGCCGAAGTTGTTGCCAAAATTCTACTCAGTTTGCCAGAGCCAGAGGAATATAGACCGTTTATCGCCGCCTGGGATTCCATTGATAAAAAAGGAGCAGAAAAAGTGTAATTTAGTGCCACGGTTGTTAAAACAAGAAATGCTTCAGTGTGGCGGTAAGTCAGAATTATCTAATGAAAGCGATGGGCTAGTTTGTTCGCGAAATGTCTTGCAGAAACGAAATTTCGGAAAATCTACATCAAAATCCGGGTTCGCGGGTAAATGCAATTTTTGCAAGAAAACCGGCCATAAAAAGAAGGACTGTTTTAAACTTTTTAAGTTTTAAGTAAGAGCGTTGCTAATACTGCAAGCGGTTCTAATAATTCGGGTTCCGATAGTTATTTATTTTCGGCATCTAATTCTAACGTCGTAGGCGATCGCAATATGATATTTTACGCGGATTCGGGCGCGTCACAACATATGTCACCTTGTCGCCAATGGTTCGACAATTATGAAGAATTTACGATTTGTAAGCGGAAGGCTATAACAGTCGGAGACGGTAAACAAATCATTGCCCAAGGCGTAGGCACCATAAATATTGGAAGTAATTTAGGGAATAGGTCACAAAAACACATATTAACAAATTTGTTGAGATACCCCAACCTTAGCAACGTCCTGTGAATATGATTGTCGATACGAAGCACCCTATACATTATGTTAGTTACACAAGCTGCAAACAGAAATCTGGTGGGATTACAGAAAAGGGAAAGAGAGCGAAGATGAGACGGATGGAATTTCTTGAAGACCACATGTGTTTACAATTTATTTCAAACACCTGCAGTCCACTTTTTTCTTAGAAATGCGTGAACTGCAGGGAATGGGCGATTTTTGGGTGGTTTAGGGGTATTAGCAGATCAAATTACCGCGTGGCTTGGGTTGGTCAAATAAATAGGATTTAACATGTGTGTTCATGGTCTTTGTCTTGTAACCAGCTGAAGTGTAAAGTACGGCTTGTCTTGAAATATTTGGTTATACCTTACCCAGCAAACATTAGTTGTAGTTGTTATGTATCTCAGAAGCCACAAGTTATATAACAGACACTATATAACATAAACATTGTTGCAAGAGCACTAGATAAACCTACAGATTTAAACTTGTTAATACATACATGATACGTAACATTCGTTGTATAGTTACATAACCTAAATCACAAGTTATATAACAAATATCTCAAACACGTAATGTTATTGGTACGTAACATTGCAGCTTGCACATGTTATATAACAAATGATATATAACGTATACATAGCTTTTACACTGCATTAAGTTATATTACATTCCATATCAAGTGTTACTGTTAAAGTAAAAGTAATATATCTCCAAACATTTTGGAAGTTGCAGATACATCACGTAACAATATAACATGAACATAGCTATTTTTATGTGCATTCTACATGCGAACCATCGCGCGTCCCGCGTCGCGCCTTTTGTAAAATTGTAACGTATACTAAGTAGGGTTAGGTTCTAATTTTTTGCCTCGTGTATTTGGTTGGTGCCATAAAGAAGTGCTGTGCTGGTCTCTAATTTATTTAATATTTCTTTTCTACACCGAGTTTTGCGGAAGTATTAATAAGGTAAGTTACAGTAATTACAGTATTTTTTCTGTTCTTAGAAATGTGTGAATATGTATTTAGATAGATCATTATAGTATAGTAGAGCCATAGCGGAAGTCTTTGACAATATAGGTATAGTGCCTCGGATACCAAATTGTAGTAATTTGTATCAAGGTCGGATTACTGCACCGATCCTAGGTCCCAAAGCTATTTTTCAATCTAACCGAGAATCAATCAGTTACACAGTACACAAGCCTCCACACAAGTATAATTGTCTGAAGTGGCTAATGGTAGTACGATGTTACTTATAATTATACTGTAGTATGGCACAGAGGGTTACATCTAGTTAAATGTGACTGTAAACTTTAATTTTCTACTCTTTTATTTGCATTTTCCATAATTGATAAATGGTGTTTTACATAAGTAATGAATATATTTTTGATTTATTGAAGTACTTAATTTTACAGACATTTGGAGCAGTAAATTGTAATAATTGAGAATCATGCCTAAAGAACTGCATTTGTTAAGCAAGAGGCGTAGAAACCAGCTAATTCAACAAAAGCTAACAGAAATTCAGCAAAGTGCAAATGAGCAACATTTACTGCCTTCAATCGAAACAACAGGTTTGTGCTCCACTGGAACAGCATTGGATATTCCATGTAATGATTCTGTTTTGGATTATGATGAACGGCAGAACCTTTTTGATCAAAATGCTGATCTAAATATACCTGCATTTTCGAATAGTGATGACACCTCCGATGACATGTTTTCATCCGGGCAGAAGACGGAGGCATTAGTGGAATCTCAAGTAGGACAGAGTTGTGATGAGTCTCAACATTCTAAAATGTTTTCTAAGGATACTGTGAATGATGAAAAACTTAAAGAAGAATTAGCCGATTTAGTAATTGAATGTAATGTTCCACATGTTTTTGTGAATAAGTTGCTGCAGTTACTACAACGTCATGGTCACAATTTACCATCAGATGTAAGAACACTGGTAAAAACACCGAAAGCTACTACAACTAATTGTGTGTCTAGCTTGTCTGGTGGGAAGTATGCACATCTAGGTTTTTGTTCTGGAATTTCCCAATCTGTAAAGAAATACTTTTGTAATATTCCATCAATAGTTAGGGTGAACATCAACATTGATGGTTTACCATTAGCTAAAAGTTCAACCAAACAATTTTGGCCACTATTGGGGTCTATCGTTGCTGATGATTACACAGAACCATTTTTGATTGGTGTTTTTTATGGAACTAAGAAACCTGAAGATGCAAATGAGTATCTGCAACCCTTTGTTGACGAATGCTTATCGCTAACAAACAACGAATTTTTGATAGAAGTAGTTAAGGTTAAGATCATGTTAAATGCAATTATATGTGATGCTCCTGCCAAAGCGTTTATATGTGGTATAAAAAGTCATACAGGCTATTTTGGATGCAGTAAGTGCACCCAAGAGGGGGACTTTGTGCAAAATAGAGTTGTGTTTCCAGAAGTTAATAGTCCATTAAGAACAGATGCAGCATTTAAGAGCAGACTGCAACCAGAACATCATGTTAGAGACTGTTGCCTTGACAAACTAGATATTGGAATGGTATCACAAGTTCCCCTCGACTACATGCACCTTGTTTGCTTAGGAGTTATGAAACGGCTTTTACAGTTTTGGGTGAAAGGTCGAATGAATGTTAGATTAAAGGAAATAGATCAAATTTCTGGTATATTTGTTGAAATGAAATGTTCAATTACAGAAGAATTTGTTAGACTGCCCAGGAGTCTATTTGAAATAGATCATTGGAAGGCAACCGAGTTCCGACAATTTTTATTGTACACTGGACCTGTACTCTTACGTCAAAAACTACCCCCAATCTATTATGAACATTTTCTTTCATTAAGCATTGCAATTAGAATCCTGGTTGATTCTAAACTCTCTAAAAGTTTGATTGAGTATGCAGATTCCTTGTTGGTGTGGTTTGTAAAATGTTTTGGTGACTTGTATGGAATTGAATTTGTTTCATACAATGTGCACAATCTTGTACATTTATCAGCGGATGTTAAAACTTTTGGACCACTGGATAGCTTCAGTGCGTTCAAGTATGAAAACTACATGCAGAAAATCAAGCACAAGCTTCAAAATTCAGGAAACTATTTACAACAACTTGTCAATCGAATATATGAAGAAAATCGTTTGGTTAAGAAGTATGAACCTCCTAGAGATTATCCCATTGTGAAATATTCTAAAAAAAATGAAGAAATTATACGATCTGTTCAATTTTGTGGTTTTTCAATTTCAAATTCAAAATATAACAATTGTGTTATGTTGGATGATTGTGTATTTGGCCTAGTAGATTACATATCTATGTGTGATCATAAATGTGTAGTACATATACAAAGGTTCACTAATGTTCAACCTTTTTTTAATGTACCTTGTGATTCAAGAAAGATTGGAATTGGTGTTATAAATATAAATCTTGGTGAACAAGTTACAGTTTCAATTGAAGAAATTAAAAGAAAATGTATTATGTTAGATTATTCAAACCATGAATATGTTGTACTACCATTACTACATTCTGAAATTTAAATATTTTATATTGTAAACTTTTAGATGTCTCAGTTTAAACTTTTTGTATTTTCCAATTATTTTTATGTACCTATATATTTTTTTATTTAACATTTGTGCTTTACTTTAATCATTATTTATAAAAAATATCTTGCTATACAAGTATGTAAATATAAGTTATTTACAGAATGTCATATGCGGTTGTGACCTTTTTAAACAATGATGATGAGGAGACGGACGAGTATTACAGTTCAGAAATCCCCATGTCATGGTTATGCGAGAACAATACAAAATGTTGGTGGCCTGCACAAAGTAAAAATGTAACTTCCCTCATTACGAGAGAAGTTCCCCCCAATACCGACAAATGGGATCTCGAAGAAATAAAAGTAGACATACTTGGTGGTATGGCAAACTTATGGTAATATAGATCATGTAGTGAATGTATAAATTTGCAGTTTCCTTGGAAAAGGCGCGAAAGTTAGCGGATAACCTTGACTACGTGTCTACCGATGATGCAGAAAAAGGAAGAGGGAAAAGAAAGGTTACTCAGCCAACCAAGCTTCTGTCTGATGATGATTCAGAACCTCAAATTTCTTCTAAGAGTAAGGTGGTAAAACAGCTCTGTCTTTGAATTTAAATGTAACATAGTAAATGACCTTGTGGTACCAAATCACCTTTAGAACTGCATGTTGTGCTTTTCATAGTTAAATTTTCTTGCATCAAATGCTGACGCAAAATTCTTATCCCAACATTGTTTACATTCAAAGGGGGCATATTAGTTATTTAATACTGTTTGCTTTAGTGGTTAAACTGTTAGATATACTTATAATTTTTTATAGGTTGGAGACAATTTACTAATATTGCGTTGCCACCCCAATTACCAAGTTGTTCATCAAACAAGTAAACAAAAAATTACACTTGCAACGTATTTAACTTTTGTTTTAGTCTTTCACAAGCTGAAGGTGTAACACCTCATGTCAACATTGCGAGAAATGTATTATTATATTTCAGGTCCAGTCCTCAATATTACAATAATTTGTTTACTATGTAGTATATGGTTCTTCTACTCTAGAGCACAATGTTTAAAGAAAATAAGTCCGGCCCTGCCTCATCATAATCCTGCCTCCTTGATGCTCCGCGCCCGGCTTCTCACTGTGTTTCTTGTGCTCAGAGCATCAACACGTTGCTGGTCTTCGCGACGTTTATTTCGTTCATTCGGCCTATTTGTTTTTTATTGTGTGATCTATCATTTCCTGGCGTAAGTAATTGTATTAATGTTACCCTAATTTTAGACAAATTTGGTCAGGTGTTTGTCGAAACACTTCTCTCGTTCTATCGTCCATAGTTGAAATGGGAAAATCCAAAAGGAATAGAAGTCGTAGTTGCTCTGCGAGCAGCGAGGATGATCACGTATCGACTCGGAAACTTTTAAAGAAGTTGCGTAGGGAATTTAAGAGTATAAAACAACAACAATCTCGGATTTCCCGGTCTCGTAGTCGCAGCCGACGACGAGATTCCATTAGCGAGCCCCGCCATGAGGCTAGGCGACGGGTTCAGTCCCGAAGTCCGTGCGCACGCTCGCGTTCGCGGGGACGAAGCAGGTCCAGGAGTTTCCGTCGTCACGTACGCCGTGAACGTGAAACGAAAAGTGCCGCTCCAGCGCAGTTAGCGCCTTCGTCAACATCTTCTGCTATGCCGCGGGCTTCGCTCGAAACTGCGACGCTGTCACGTTCTGTAGATAATTCTGCTGATCGAGCTATTCGAAATGACGCCTGTAGCGTTGTTTCAGAGGGCAGTTTGGTAGATCTGGGTGCCTGTAGTGCTCAATCTATTTTAGGCGATACGAGAGGTATAGGTAATGCCACTCAGGAAAGGAAAATTGACGATGCCTGTAGCGTTTTGTCAAGTGAGTCCCGAGATAATGAACTTGTAATTCATAATGACGTATCTTTACCAGAGGATGTCATTGATATGCTCGGCGACGATCCAGAAAGCACTGCGGAAAACGGTTCATTGTTGCACAATGAACTTGCAAAGAGGTGGAAGGTTTTTTTGCAAAATGGCCTTAAAAAGGATGATTTATTAACGATCCTAAGTAAATATGACACACCCTCAAATTTATCTTTGCTAACGGCCCCGATTCTCAATCCAGAGGTTAAAGCCGCCTTACAAAAACCTATTCTTTCGGTAGATTTTTCTCACTCCGAGGGTCAAAATCAATTAGGAAAGGGGCTTTGTGCTCTAGGCAAAGCAATCTCTAATATCCTGGGAAATATTGAGAATATTCCCGGAGATATGAGGAGTGGTTTATTGACAGATCTGTTTAACTCCGGCCGTATACTTACTAATCTCTTCCATCGTGAATCTGTTATAAGAAAAAATCTTATAACACCCCATTTAAAGAACCTGCAGGCGGTTGCCGAAAAATGCATGCCTGCCGAATTTCTGTTTGGAACAGATCTATCAGAAAAGCTTAAGTCTCTCAAAGCTATTGAGAGTGCAAGTAAGGAACTTAAATCGGTGCCAAAACCTCTTTTTAATAGAAAGAGGGGGGGGCGATACTGTAAGTGACCGAAGTAAACCCGGATCAAGTCGGCCTTTAAACGCGTTCAGGCCGGTCCGTCATTACCCCGAGACGAGGCCGGCCCGATCACAAAAATTTGCCTACCGGTCGGAACCAGCCAAGACTTATCGCAACAAAAACCAAAGCACGTGGAAGAAGAGGATTTAAAGGTAAGGAAAAATTTAAAATGCAATGCTGTTTATGCAGGTCGCCTCATTCATTTTTACTCAGTTTGGCTTTTTATAAATCCTTCCTCGATTGTTTTGAGTTGGATTAAAGGATATAAATTGCCTTTTATTCAAAAGCCAAATCAAGTAATTCTACGCCCAAAATCTTTTGGTCAGGAAGAAAGTAGCCAAATTAATAATGAAATTGCTAGCTTACTGAATATTGGGGCAATACAGAAATGTACTTTTTTGAAAGATCAGTTTCTGTCTTCAATATTCTTAGCCGATAAACCCAATGGCAAAAAACGTTTTATTTTGAATTTAAAACGTTTAAATAAATATGTTTATGCACCGCATTTTAAAATGGAGGATTTCAGAACAGCAAATAGGTTAATTCAGAAAAACTCGTTTGCAGCCTCTCTCGATTTAAAAGATGCATATTATTTACTTCCAATAGCACCAGCCCATAGAAAATATTTAAGATTTTCGTTTAATAACACCCTTTATGAATTTACCTGTTTGCCGTTTGGCCTGGCAACCGCGCCTTATACGTTCACGAAGCTTTTGCGACCGGTGGTTGAACATGTACGGTGTGCCAGGGGCGTGCTTTGTGTAAATTTTCTTGATGATTTTTTGGTTCTGGGGGCTACGAAGGACGAATGCACTCAAAGTGTTCAAATTCTCAGGTCCACATTAGAATCATTGGGATTCATTGTAAATTTGGAAAAAAGTGTGCTTTTTCCGGACACAAAATTTAAGTTTCTAGGCTTTATGTATAATTCGAGTTTAATGACCATAGAACTTACACCCGAAAAACGAGACAAGATTTTTAAATGGTCTCAACTTTTACTTAACAGGAAAAATTGCCAGATTATTACACTTGCAAAATTCTTAGGGATTTTAACGTCAGCATGTCCAGCTGTAAAATACGGCTGGGTGTATACCAAATTTTTAGAAAGGGAAAAACATCTGGCTCTGCAACATAATAATGAGAACTATTATGCGAAAATGATTATTTCAGATCCTATTCGAAACGATATAAAGTGGTGGCTTTCTAATATTTATACAACAAAAAATGATTTGAGGAAAGATTCATTTGACCTTGAAATTTTTACAGACGCAAGCTTAACAGGCTGGGGCGCTTTTTGTCAAGGCGTAACTACCAATGGATGGTGGGAAGCTGGTTATAAGAAAGAACATATCAATTTTTTGGAACTCCAAGCTATTTACTTTGGGTTGCAATGTTTTGCCAAAAATTACTCTAATTGTAGTATTTTAATTCGTACCGATAATACTACTGCAGTTTCTAGTGTGAATAAGATGGGTAGCGTAAGATTTTTGAAACTAAATGAAATTACGAGAAAAATTTGGCGTTGGTGCGAATCCAAAAATATTTGGATTTTTGCATCATACATTCCGTCAGCTGAAAATTGTCATGCTGATAAAGCTTCTCGTGTCACGAATACGGAAACTGAGTGGGCTCTCAACAATGACATTTTTTTAAAAGTCATAGAAAACTTTGGCTTACCCGAAATCGATCTTTTCGCTTCCATGGAAAATCGTAAATGTCAAAGGTTTATCGCTTGGCAGATAGACCCAAAAGCCGAAACGGTTGACGCTTTCACTATAAGTTGGAGAAATTTAAAATTTTATGCATTCCCACCATTTTCTTTAATTTTAAGAACTTTGCAAAAAATTTTAAATGACAATGCATCTGGAATATTAGTTGTACCGTATTGGAAATCACAGCCGTGGTTTCCTCTTTTTGAGAAAATGATTGAAGGTGATCTGCTACTTTTTGGACCAGCGGATAATATTTTATTTTCTCCTTTCAGCGATCAGAAACATCCTCTGGCCTCGGTCCTTATCCTGGCTGTAGCCAGGTTATCAGGCAAGCGTTTCTAATACAAGGCATACCGAATAATGCGATAAACGTTATGGAAAAATCCATAAGTGACAACACATTAAAGCAGTATAATTCAACATATAAGCAGTGGTGGAGTTTTTGTGTAAACAAAAACATTTCACCTTTTGAAAAAAATAGTTCTCATATAATATCATTTTTTCAAAATGTTTTTGAAACAACAGAAAACATGTTTGGTACGTTTAACTCCCACCGCGCTGCTTTATCTTTAATAACTTCGCACGATTTAGGAGAGGATCCTCAAATTAAAAGGTTTATGAAGGGGATTTTTAGGCTTCGACCACCGAGACCAAAGTACGACTGTACATGGGATCCTCAAATTGTTTTGACTTATTTAGAAAAAACAGAGGCAGATTCTTTAAAATGTCTTTCCCATAAATTAATCACGTTACTTGCCTTAGGAACTGGCCATAGGATGCAAACTTTTTCTCTTATAACGCATTCAAATATTCAATTTACTAACGAAGGAGTCAAAATTTTTGTCCCTGATTTTATTAAGACATCCAGTGTCAATTCAGTGCAACCTTGCTTAGATTTACCTTTTTTTAACAATGCCAACTTATGTGTAGCCTCAACGCTTCAGAAATATTTAGAAGCTACACAAAATTTGCGACAAGGGTGTCTTAAGCTGTTTATCACGTATAAAAAGCCTTATAAACCTGCTACGAAGCAAACTCTAAGTAGATGGGTAAGGGAGACCTTACAGGCAGCGGGAGTCGACTCGTCAGTTTTCAAACCTCATTCGATTCGACACGCATCCACTTCAGCCGCATTAAGAAATGGACTCTCTCTGGACTCCATTAAAAAATCAGCAGGTTGGAGTAAAAATTCCAACGCTTTTGCTCGGTTTTATAACCGTCCAATTAAAGATAAGAGTTTTCTGGCTTCGATTTTTGAGGCACAAAATAGTTAAATTCGGTGTCTTATAGTTTAATTACTATACTTTTTTGTTACCTTAGTACCTATAAGTTTGTTTTGAGTTCGTTCGTAAGAGATAAGAATATTATATCTCTTTTTTATACTTACCTTTTTGCGGTTACCACTTACCTAATACGGGTAAATAAGAAGTAAATTTTGTTTAGTTGTTGAGAATAAAAGGTTTTTTGTTTTTCATTTTACGCGCAGCTTATTTTTTATGTCCTGTTTTCGGTTTCTGCTTTAAACATCTACATAGTAAACAAATTATTGTAATATTGAGGACTGGACCTGAAATATAATTAATCGATCAAAAGAACTTACCTGAAGTTCGATCGTAATTATATGAAGGTCCAGTCCGAAAATATTACAACCCACCCACCCCCATCCATAATATACCGAAAAACAGGGTGGGATATCTTTAAATAACAGTGAGAAGCCGGGCGCGGAGCATCAAGGAGGCAGGATTATGATGAGGCAGGGCCGGACTTATTTTCTTTAAACATTGTGCTCTAGAGTAGAAGAACCATATACTACATAGTAAACAAATTATTGTAATATTTTCGGACTGGACCTTCATATAATTACGATCGAACTTCAGGTAAGTTCTTTTGATCGATTAAATATAGCACTTTACCTTGCAATTCTTGCAAACAACTTCTCTTCGCACTTGATTGAGAATTTACATGTTTTTTACCTGGATTGCTTTATTGGCCTTGTTCTAATTTGTATATTCCAGAGTATATTCTTATTGTGAATTGTGAGCCGTAGCCAATTTACTACCTATCTGTTTCTATAAGAAAAGTAACTAAAAACGTTTGAAATAAGCGGTTATACTTTTACAAGAATTTTTTTCCTTATTACGTACAAAGTGGCTAGATAATGGAAGCGTATCACTAAACTTTGTTTAAATATATTCGGAAAATAATAGTTAATTACAATACTATTCCGTGACGAATTGTTTCGCGTGGTATGTTTACAATTTCTCTACTACTTTTATTCGTTGTCATTCCGTTGAAATATATTTGCAACGTAGGTATATTAATTGACATTACGTTCAATCACGTCATGAATTCTGAACTCCGGAACACGCACTATTATTAGATGATTTTCTGAAAACTTTTGGTATTTACAACCCTACATTAGTTAGAAACCAAATCGCGACAAGTAAAACTACCAGAAAATTAGGATTAATTGCTCTGGTGGGCCAATCTCTAATCATGCAAAAATATAAACTTCCTCCACGATATTAATGGCTTACATTTGGTTTTTAGAGCAAGGTGTTAAAAAGACCAAATTCTAGTGAACAGACTTTATGTTGTACCGTAATCGATTTTTCGAAAGTAATTTTGATGGCATATTTAAAGTATTACTACACGTGACAAAAAATGAGTGCACATCAGAAGATTGAACATTATAAATCAAGGCATACCAGAAAATTCCTTAAAAGTTTACATTTATTACGGATAGCGGACGGGTTTATCAAATATAATTATGCCGACAGTTCGGTGTCGGTAAAGTGCTGAGGAATTGACCAAAGAGTTAATTGACATGGGCAACAGATTCGAACGTGCAACTGGGGAAAAACCACAATACCTTTTTTTGAAAAACAAATAAGGATCGCCGTACTCCCACAGTGCAAGAAAACCTAGGCTTAAAAAACCCACACATGGGAATTGTGCTGAATGGTATTTTTATAATGTGAACTGGAAATCTATGAGAGCTACTTTTAGGTCAGCTATCTTTGCAACAAAACCCCTACTAAATTTGCGTCCTATATCTCCGATTCACTGGAGCCTCAGACTTCCAGAAACTAATATGAGAACAATATTCCATAGAATTTAAATACCCATCACAAAAAATATGATTGCAGACCTGTCAGTATTTGATGTAAACCAATAATTCGTGATCTTTATAGAAACAAGGGTAACAATCAATAATCTGAAAGGGATAAGGGAAGAATCGCTTAAATGTGACAGGTTGTTTCCATGGAAATGTTTAC